GTTGATCTGGCCAAGCCCCTCAGGGTCTTCAAACAAGACCCTAATCACACCAGCCACAACACCAGAAACCCGACTACATTTATGTAGTAGCCACACAATTACCCCTCATAAGGAAGCCATTAGCCCCTGTTTAGCACATTCACATTTAGAAGGGATGCTGGGACTAAAATTGCAGCAGTGTGGTGGTGGTAAGAAAAGAAGTAGTCTTCTTGTTGTTAGGTAACTTTTTCCCTAGATCCAGTTAAAGCACTTTAAGACAAAATAAATAAAGCTTAAACATCTGTAGCTTTCATTTTTATCTGCCTATTAACCACTTTTTTTTTACACTTTTTTTTCAACATTTGGTTTTCTTACAATTTTTTTCTTTCTGATTTATATTTATTTGAGCTAAAATAAACATTTTATCCTACGAATACGATGGCTTTTTCCACATTGCATTAGATTTGTTTTGGGGGGGGTTTGACAATTTTGGCAATTCTTTATCTAGGACATAATATCAGTCTTTCATGGCTCATTTTTAGCTAATTTGTCAAGCAAGCAAACATGGTCTTCTAGAATCATAAATGCAAGAATATAATTTAAAAAATATATAAAATTATTAGTTATTAATAGCTAATATTAAAAATATATACTATGAATTATCTAAATCTGGTTTGTGCGACTTAATTTGCAAACAGCATACAAATATTTGTCTGAACTTTGAAGACCTACAACCACAGAGTTGACACAAAACAGGACACACACAACCAAGCACTACTGTAAACAAATATCAAAAGCCCTGGTAAAGAGCACTGGATCGTCATGTAATCACCTTTAGAACATAGTTCAAAGAGTGCAGACCAATTTGAATTAATGGGGTGTACTACTGTTTCTACACTCAGTTTGATGCTAACATAGAAAATAAAACAGCAACAGTGGTTAAAAATAACAAAGTAGAGTATATTCTGTAAAAAGGTGACTAAAAGTATCATTCTTCACTGTTAAAACCACTGCAGCCCTGCCTGTGAATCAGGAACGATTTGAGAGTACCTTTGATTGGTATTAGGTACTAATTTTAATTATTGAGTGTTAAAAAACTGTGCCTTACAACCTTTTTATAGTTTATAGGACCATCTGTTGTGACAGCATAAAAGGGGAGGTATAAAAGGCAAATCAAATAAGTCATAGAATAGAATAGTCTTTATTGCCATTATGTTCGGTTAAAACATAATACTTCTCTGTTTAGTGTTTTATATAGTACTAAAAATAATTACATTTAATACTGCCTTTTCAAAATAAGTATTATGTGCTTTTGTAATGTTTCAGGATTTTAATGTTGTTATAAAATACTGAAGATATTTTTTACCGTTCATCTGTAAAGGTCTATATAACTATTTAACTAAGGCCTTGAAAGACTGTGTAAAGAGGAATTCATGGGGATGTCATCTTAGCAAAAATATCCTTTAATCTTGGTGTATAGCATCTGACAATGGAGGTTATTCAGGTTTTTCTGGTCTTTAGCTCCCATTGCCTACTACAGACTACAACACCCTGCTGGTAGAGATCAACTTCTTCTTTAGCATACACATAACTAACTTGGCACAAAGTCCAAATTTTCTCCGTCAAAAATCTGAGGCAGCGACATGGATCTTTGTCAATGACCACAGTCAGACTGGCTGTCAGAAGCACTGGGGGAAATCCCACCACATGTGCGACCTGTTGGTCTTTTGTTTTCCTCAACAGGCATTATTCAGCATTAAAACCCAGAGCAGCTGCTTCTGAGATCAACCCCAACAGTCTGCCGACGTTGTTACAAATATGGCTTTTTAAGCACATATAAACTGCCCCCTCTATAAACTGCATCAACTAAACAAAGCACTGGAAAATCCAAAGTTGTAGCTATTCAGTGTGTAAACCCATTAGCACCAATGTGTCAATGTGTGCACACAAGCCTTCCACACAGGAGGGAATCTGCTTATGTTATACAACGGTAAGCTGCACCTTGAGGCCCACACGCATCTGTTATCATTTTACAACCTGACTATAAGTCAGCACAATGCAAATCTCCAGAGTATAATGTGCCTCTGCTGCTTATTACAGAAAAGGCTGTGTACTACACCAAGGTAATAGATGGTGGGATGTATATTTACATGAAGGAATCAAGGCAGCAATTTCAGATGAGAGTTACATTCCACTAAAATCTGACTTTGTAACTTCTAAGCCAGATATGAAGGCAGAAAGTGCATTTAAATGCATTTGACATTTTACAGACTCAACCATGAAAGACTCAGAAGCTGATTGCACTCATGCTTGTTGCTAAAAAGGCCAGGTTTTTTAGTGGGTGATTTTGTGCTGTGTGAATGTGGCAGCCTTGTCCCAAATTCTAAGAGCTGTGACAAATGTTGACTTCATGGACCCAGTGCATGATGTACTATATGCCTATTAGCTGGCAACATGAAACCATGCTGTCTTGGAAATCTAAGCTTTGGGCCCCACATAAAGGTAGAGTACAGTCAGTTATGTTTTGCAGCTTTTAGTATGTGGTAACAGTACGGTAGCAGCGGAGTGATTTATACAAATTTACAAAGAAAAATTCTATTTAAATGATTGTGTTAAATGTGGTTTTAAGAAAATAGTTATATATTAAGAAATTATTGCTACAAAAAGGTAGAACGAGTCCTTGAAGCACAAACACAGACAGTGAAGTTGCACCATATTTTCAATGACAGTAATGTATATGATAAATCTGAAGCTTAGGTTAAACTGGTTGGTCCCAAACCCCACTCCAGAATCAGAGCATGGCTGTGGTGTTTTAAGCAAGCACCAAGACGTTATTTTGTCTTGACACATTGTAACAGTCAAAAATTGGGGACTGGACCTTAAATGTCACAGAAATGTTATGTCTCTTTTTGTTGGACTGAGCTACGCTCATGGTGCACTCCCTCTTTTTTTTTCTTAATAAAAACAGTGACGGTTTGCGTATCTGTAGAAGAAAGGCTACCTTCTATGTTGTCCATGCGCATGTGCCTCAATAGACTCACAGAAATACACAACGCACACAAAGGGCAGCAGTTTGTAAAGCCAGCAGCACCCTCTCTCCTTTTGTTTCTCCCTGAAATTATATCAATTATTTCATTTAATTCAAGGCTGTGTATAACTACCCCAACTAACCTTTTTAGTGTAAATAATATATATATATATATATATATATATTCCCAAGCATGGTACATGTGCTTTTGTTTGTAATAGCCTAGCCAGTCTGTTAACATGAGTCCCAATCTTGGACAGTATATTTAAAAAAAGAAAATACAGCTATGACTACAACTACAGCCCTGGAAAATAGTCCACTTGTTAGGGAAATAACTCTACAGGGTTGGAGGAAATGAGGCCATTTTGCTCACAATTTGTAACATCAATAAACTATTTCCTGGGAACTCGCAGTGTAATTTAGGTCTTGTTCAAAAGAGCTCAATGTAAAACAAAACAAAAAAAACTCTGACAATAAGTATGATTAAAGTGTTTACATACTGTATATTTATTTTTTCACCACCTGCATTTCAAATGAAGAGCGATTTGAGTCAGAGCTGTTTGGTCCATTTCAGATGGACCAGACTGTGTTATCCCGTATAGTCTGCTTAGTTTGGGCAGGTATAAAAGCTCATTGAAACTTCGTGGAGAACAAATAGTCAAACACTGGACAACATGACAATGTGGGTCTTGGTTCATTTGCTAAAGAAGCCTTGTGCAGTTCACTTAAAGTGGGAATGCAAATGGACTATCCAGTGAACAAAAGAGAGGAAGTTATGTGGAGCACAATGTGTTTTGGTTAGAAAGAAATGTCAACAATGGAAATTAGAAGATGCAAAGGTAATGGATGATTTGAAGATAGAGAGATAGATTTCCATTTTCAGTCCCAGCCAAGTGATGAGCCGGGTTATCTTCTTACACATTTTCCTTTCTGGTCAGTACTTGTTTTGGGCAAAATCACTCCAAACGAGTAGCTGTTGAAACTGTGTGATGTTGTCCCAGCAACCCTTGTCCCTGTAGTTTGACCTGGTTTCAAAGCTCAGTGAGTAAGTGAACCAAACCAAATTAAGGTGTGAAATTTTTCTTTATTCTCCCATCCAATTAAAACAAGACTACAAACTATGGAGTTGTAAAAGCCCTCTAATGGCTACAGGAATAGAAACTATAAAGCATGGATGTCAATGCTTTCAATCTTTTCTACCTTTTACAGGATCATTATATACTGTGTATGTGTGTGTACATACATCTCATCTATATATATATATATATATATATATATATAGATAGATAGATAGATAGATAGATAGATAGATAGATAGATAGATATTAGTTATTTTTTTATGGGTAAATTAAATGGTGAAGATCAGATATCAAATTAACCAACCATCCAATATTTAAAAATACATCTCAAGCTCACACGTAGTCCTGTGGACATTGCCTAAGGTCTGGCAGCCCACGTGCATTTTGCTCCCCCTCGGATCCACGTTTATCTGATTCTTTGTCCTCCTTGCCTCAGAGGAGCTGCATCCTCCCATATCAGCTGCTAACCACCTCCAATTAGAACGACGTGCGAACATCACTATTCACTCTAAAAAAAAACAATGACTGTAAGCATAAACCCGTGCACTGTTAACAATTTAGGGTTGTTGTTTTTTTTTCTACCAATGCGTTCGGGAGGTTGCGCACTAGCCCCTTCAGCAGACAGACGGACACACACACACACGTGGAATGTGGAGGGAAGCACCCGCCTATAATAATAACACAGAGGACAAAAAGAGACAATACTGGTGTGCAACTTTGCAGAAAAGACAAATTAATCACATAAGAGTGTGAAAATGCCACGGGGTATTCACGCACCTCAACAAGCACGACTCTGCAATGGGAAACAAAGAGCAAGGCTGCAACATTTTTGTGTTGCTGCGTCTGCAGCTGCTAGCTCCTCAACTATTGCATGATGCAAACCTTGTCAAGAAACTGTCAGAAAAGCCTCTTACCTGATGTGTCATATCAACCTTAACTGGGAGCAGCGGGAGCAGCAGCACAGCGGGGGCCCAAACGTTGGAGCCAGGTCGCCCAAATTCTCCGTGTCGCTGGAGTTGAAGGCGAGCCTTTAACGATTTCCCCACGCTGAAAAAACTTTTTCCCCTCTATAAAACAAAACTGTCAAAGAAAGAAAAGGGAGGGGAGTGGATTAGGCAGGGCGATCTAACGGTCAGCAGAGGGAAAGGAACGGGGTAAAGGCTGCTCACACCAACGCCAGAGTCCCGATGTGACGTCCGGCTGTTTCACACCAAACGTCATTCAACCAATCTGGCATTTTAACTGCGGCCCCGCTTTAGTAAAGGGTAAACAACATCGACGGCTGGACTTTAGACCCTTGTCGAAACATTTAAGGTCTTGCGGGACATCCGGCTGATAGATTTGTGACAGTGCAACACTAAAATCTAGACAAATGTCAAAGTTTAGTAGTTCTGCACGCTGCCTTTAATGTGTTGGGCTAATAGCAGGGAAGTTGCGGCACAAACGTAAAGTTAACATATTTATTTTTGAAATTAAGTTTTTTCAAACCACACTCTGACACTCAACTTCCCCGTGTTTATTCTTAAAATGATTTTTGCAGAGTTTCTGTAGCCGTTACGGGCGATTACGAGACAATAAGCAACACCAGTTAGATTAGGAGACGCAGTTTACCCCCTTTTATATATGTTTTGTTGTTATTAATATCCCATAGAGAAGCGGTGCTGCTGTAAAAAAAATGGCCTCTCCTACAATGACATTGCGCCTAAGCTGACTGGGCACATTGTTTGAGTCGGTGGCATGTCAAAATAACCGCAACCCACACTGGGGGAGAGCGTTAACAAAAGCTAACGCTACAGCTTACTTTACTGGCCGTAAAAACGTATAAGTGTGCGTGTGCGTTACGGCCTAGGAGCAGCAAAACGAGTCATAAAAGCACAACAGTACAGATCTTTTTACAGGCTACATCTGACATCTTTTAAAAAGGTAAAGTGCGAATCAACTTACACGAATTAATCCATGCAAAAAGAAACGTATGGGACTCTCTCTTAGTCCAGTTTTTTTGTCCGGTCTGTATCAACATTGCAGGACCGCACACTTCTCCTTAAATCCCTCCTCTTTCGGCTTTAGCAGCCAGGGACATATCTATACATATATACGTAATCTCCTCCCGTTTACCCAATCGTAGCGCGTCATACCCGGAGCAGGTCTGCTATCATTGGACAAAATGTCAGTCGATCTCTTTCTAAACCTCCCTGCCATATAGGGGTGTGTCGTGACGTGTAAGAGCAGCAGTCACACGTCCTGGTAGGTGGTAAACAGTGTGATTGTATTTGTGGCACTAATGTGATTCATTAAGATTACAACCGCAAACAAAGAAAAAAAAGGTAGACTTGTTTTGCTAAATGGGGAAGTATCACTGTGTCATAATTTATTAGAAAGCATTCGGGGAATAGAATTGTGTACGTTTAGCTTTTACAATGTTTTTAGCATACTAAACTTTTTTTAATAGCACCATGATCTGTATTTTGTTAATACATATTCCTTAGTGGCACTTGACTATAATTTAAAAATAACTAAAGTTGGGTTTTTTTGCTGAAATAGTTTTTGCATATCACAAAATAATATTAGTAAAAATGAAAACACCACAAATTTGTCTAACAGAGTTTAGCAGTTGCATAGATCTCCAATGGACTAAATTGTTTGAATTGTTTTGTCCCTTAACATGCTTAATATATAATTACACCTGTGTATGTAACACAATCTCTTAAGAGATTTTATTGTTTGTGTTTGACACAGAAATTATAACAGAATATAAATATTAAATGTATAAATATTATAAAGGAGAAATAAGTATGTGACAATGTTTGTGCTATAAGTTAGCTATTTAGTTCTGCAAAAATGGGGTAAATGTAGTTAAAAAGTGGTTTAAATTAGCTAACATTTATAAAGTAGTATTGCAGCCGGAAAGATTTGAAAATTACAATATAAATACTCAAGTAGAAATAAGTTGAAGTTAACAAGACACGTAAATAAAAGCAAGCCTAAAATTAGTTTAGAAAAGATTAATTTGTTTTTACAAAAGGGTAAAAAAAAAGAAGTTATTAAATGTGTTTGCATAGCAATAAAATAGATACAACAAAACATAATATTATATAATATTGTATAATATAAGGTTAATAGTTTTGAGTAAAAAAACTAAAACAGATATTATTCTTTCAAATATCATGAATCATCAAAAAGGTCAAAGCCTGAAGTGCAGCCACAAGTCACTCTATAAGCAGCAAAGAGTTGAAACATGAGAAATAGAGATGGATTATGTTCTCCTATTTTTCTTCAAAATGTGTACATTAAAACATTTTAAGAGTAAATGAAGAAACTAAATATAAATATATATATAAAGATATAAATCCATATGTGCATTAAGGTACACCTTTAGTCCAGAGTTCCATGTTTTATCAGTGCTGCACTTTTTTTGTAATGTTGGAGTTATTTCTTATCTTCAATTATTTACACCTCACCTATACATAATATATGAAACTTCTACCATGTTCGTTTCCCCTCTGATCTTTCTGTCCCGGAAACTGGTGGAAGGTAACTGATAGCTCACACATACCAGGAACACGTGTGACCAGGGCATGTATACATGCAGACACAGCATCATTTTACCGTATAGGAGGAAAAGTTTTAAGTGTCCTATTGAAGCTATACTTTGCTTCACCCCAGGAATTTCTGTCTTTAACTGTTTCAAGGATAAATGGGACCAATATGGTTGAACTTGGGGATCTTTCTTCTTTCCATGTCTTTGGCCGCCAAACATTTCAGCAGAAGGATATCCATGATGGCAGAATGCCAGTGAGTAATCCACACTCTGCCCAATTTCCAGTCATCCAAACAACTACGGCATCAGTCTCCTGATAATTCCACTTTTGTCCTCCTTCAATCGTGGCTTTAGGATTCCTGTGAATGGACCAACGGTCCTCTTTACTTTACATTTAAATAAAAAAGATTAAAAACAAACAATCCTCTCCTCTATTACATAATTTGTACCATCAGACTACTGTTATAAAGGACAGCAGTGGGTCATCATGTAAGAATCCACTGTGGGATTCCCTAAAAGCCTTGCACGTTCCCAAACATGAGCCACACTGCTGTCTATGAGTGAATGTGGCCGATGATGTAAAGCTGCAAAAACATACATCCTTCACATGAACAGTCCTGTCATTACAGTTATGTCAACAGGATTATACAGTAACAGCTGGCTGCATGCTGCCTTCACTGGCTGATGGCTAATGCAGTCCAACCTTTATCAAAACGCTGTGTACTGTACATGTGTTGTACTGCTACTATACCATGTAACAATTTTTTTTTTACAATGCCATATTTTGTAATTCTGTTTTATTCTATGCTATGGTAATCAAAGGCGTTCAGTAAATGCTCTGTTTTTCTATACCATAACAAAGAATCTTCTATTGTTCTATTTTATCCTTTATGTTAAATTATCCCCGTGTCATACATGAAATTATATTATATTCTATACAAATTTATGACATATTCTACTATGCAACACTGTTACACACCGCTATAAAATGCCGTGCTACATACAAGATTCAGTGCGTTCAGCTGCTGCCTTACAGCAAGAAGGTCACTGGTTTGGGTCCAAGTGCTGAGAAGTCGGTCTTTATGTTTGGAATCTCAAGTGTTCTCGTGTGTGTGTTCCTGCATACACTCGCTTCCTCACACTGTCCAAATGAGGATAAAGGTGACTAGGCGCTCTAAATTAACCCTCAGTGGGGAAGTCAGTCATTCTTCTCATATATTTGACCCTAAGATTAAAAGTGTTCTCCTATCTCGGCTGTTATTGGCTCCGGTGTCTCTGTCGGCTGTTGACAGGACGAATCATCTGGAGGGAAATAAATAATAAATGAATGAATAAAGGGCTGTTTTATTAGCGACTTCAAAGAACAACGTTTTCTTTTCACGTGTATTGTCCTGCTGACTAATAAAAATAAATGCCATTATTAAACGCCATATAAAAGTTGAGTTTTTAGTGCTGAATTCTTTTCACATGGAAATGTCAATCAGATATGGTTAGTCACAAAATAAATGTAACAAACTATTTTATTCTCATACACGTCCATCTGGATGAGCGCGCACAGTGTATTCCTGTATTGCATTTGTCATATCTTTCTGTTAGCATAGATTTTTGAGCATACCACATGTGTATGCTAATGTTGTATATATTAGGTTGATATTTGGATGTGTGCATTAAATGCTTTTTTCACAGCTGGTGGCCTGTGTGTACATGTGCTGGAATCTAGGCCATCCCTCGTGGCTTTGTGTCTAAGAGGCGGATCAGTCTGTATGAGGGGCAGCCAGGCGTATGGGTGTGTTAGAGTGAGCACATGCGCAAAATGGGTTTTATACAGCACTGTGTGTGATGGGGGGTGTTTATAAGAGCAAGGGAGAGAGTATATGTGGTATCAGGTGCTTGAATGAAGAGCACACTGTTCTTCCTGTGACACCTGAGACAATAGTCATTTGACAAAACAATGTACTGGATTTTATCATATTAATTCAATGCATGAAAATGTTTTTTTAATTAATCTAAAGTAAATAAAATCCAGTTAAGAAAGATATTTTAGTGAAAAACCTTTTTGGTAGATATTTGAAAAAGATTATTCTCGAGTTTCACAAGACTGAAAAGTAAATGGCACTGCAGTAGGCTCACAAAATTAAAAAAAAACATTAATTCAAGAATAAGTAACTAATAAGTACATAAATAAACAAAACAACAATAACCAGAGAGTAATTTTAATACATGAAAAATATTAGATTCAATTTACCCAGAAAACATTTTAAATTTTGCAAAAAAAATGACAGAAATCAGGTGCTATTAAGCAACAAGCTAAACACAACTGGCAATACATAAAAATTAGAGGTAGCGAAGAAATAAATAGCTAAATATCATGCCAACAAATGACAAGCAAACATGTGCGCTAAGTAGGCAAATTTATGATAAATAAATGTGTTTTTTCTAAATTCTGTTTAGAAAAATTAAATAGTTTAAGATTAAAAACAGCAGCAAACTGCTAGATTATCAAGATAATAATAGAGAAGCTAAACTAACACGAAAATGTTGTTACAAGAATATCAAACAAACAATCTGGTCAAAATAAATAAATAAATTCAAATCTTAACTTGTAGAAAAATCATGTAGCTAAGAATTTAGCGGGCAGATAGCTAGGATTAGCTCAGAAACTGATTAAAGGCAACTCAACGACAACCTTAGCCAGAAAAAGAGAAGAAAATCATCACAAGTCACCTGTCCAGGTGCCATGATTGGCCCTCTGCCCAGACATTGAGCACACATGCATTACAGAATATCAGGAAGTGGTGATCCCAGTACAAGCACATACAAACACACTCTCTCTGGAGCTCATTCTTTGTCTCTATCTGTATCTTTCCATCTTATTTTGTCACACACACACACACACACACACACACACACTCCACTCTCTCACTCACAAGGAAAGCGTAGGAAACAGCTGGAAAAGCAAATAGTCACCAGCGGGCCGAGCTCTGGCCCACCGACTCTCACAGATGACTGGACCTTTGCTGGGATGAATGCAGTCCTCACACTGGGCTTTTTAGAAAACACACACACACACACATACAGGGGGAGAAGGAGCAGGGCAATTGCACAAACCTAAAGGAATGCTGCAGCAGTGGGCAAACACTCTTGTTTGATTCACCGTCAAGAAGATTGGTAGCAGTGCCATCCTCCTGGTACCCACAGTCTGTCTGGGGGCATCAGTGACCACACAGAGGCTCAAACAGCGCTCAAATTTGCGCTGCGTCCTCATTTAAAGGCTGTTTTGTTTTTTTTTTCTCATCTTCGCTTCATACTCAAACATTCCGACAATGTCATCATCAGCTTCCAACATCAATAAACTGAAGCCATACTCACAACAAATTCATCACATTCTTTCCGATCAGACGGCAGGGAATTCGATAGCAGAGAGAAGCTGGAACTCAGGCTTAGTAAGTCATGGAATACTGTACGCTGGAGCTACAGTAAGCCATGTCTTTTAGCTGATCCATCATTTGGTCTCAGAAGAAAAACAAATCAGTTGAATCTACAAAATCTATTCACACAGGCA